GGATGAAGGAACTCGAGGAGTGTCCGGAGGTGAACGTCGTAGGGTCTCAATCGGCGTTGATATCATACATGGACCTACATTACTCTTCTTGGATGAGCCTACTTCAGGACTAGATTCCACCAGTGCTCACAGTGTTATTGAGAAAGTACACGATATCGCACGAACAGGGAGCACTGTAATACTGACAATTCACCAGCCTTCGTCCCGTATCCAGTTGCTTCTTGATCATCTCATAATCCTAGCTCGTGGACAGCTAATGTACCAAGGATCTCCCAAGGATGTGACTCTCCATCTGGGGCGCATGGGGCGCAAAGTCCCAAAAGGGGAAAACTCCATAGAGTACCTGATTGATGTGATCCAAGAGTATGATCAGTCTGAGCTAGGAGTTGAGGCTCTTGCAGCATTTACCCTTACTGGGATGAAACCTCCATCATTATCTGCAGATGGTTTCTCAACTTCTACTGTCCTTCCATCTCCATCTCCAGCTCCACGTTCTGGTCAGCGGGCAAATGAAATGAGAGACAAAAGTGGAAAAAACGTTCGATTACAATCTGGAGCAGATGATGAATTTGATAATAGTGTGAGGAGTCCATGGAACACATCAAGGTCTTGGACCCAAAGTGGAATTATGCAAGCACTGATGTTTACACCAACTAGGCAACACCCGGACCATAGACTTCCAATGAGGTAAACGCCATAGTCTTCAATTCTCAATTTCTTGTTTCCAATTCCAATTTTCAAGCTATCTAAGTCTAAACTAAATTCATCCCAGTAAGAGCTCCACCATTGCTCTTAGCCTCTTACTGATTATGCTTATCTGTACAGTTTCTGACAAAATTTTAACGTCTAATTAGGGTCTCAAATCATTTGGTTTTTATAGTTTTCCCTTAATCTCTCTCTCCGCAATTGTGCAGTTCATCACCAGGCTACTACACCTCCTCCAGTGATATGCTTCAAGGCACTCCAACACCTCATAGCAGCGATTACACTGTGAATGAGAATGACTATCTGACCCCAGATGTTGCTCCAGACAAGAGGGCATACCTCCATCTAGGACCAAAATTTTCGAATTCCTTCTTCCTTGAGACTTGGATACTCATGCGCCGAAACTTCATAACCATCAGGCGGACCCCTGAACTTTTCCTTTCCAGACTAATGGTCCTAATAGTAATGGGCATCATGATGGCAACAATGTTCTGGCACCCTCCAAAAAACATGCAAGGAATTACAGACCGTATTAGTTTCTTCATCTTTACAGTCTGTCTCTTTTTCTTTTCTTCCAATGATGCTGTCCCTGCTTTCATCCAGGAACGTTTCATCTTTGTTCGCGAAACTTCTCATAATGCCTACAGAGCCTCATCATATACCATTGCTGGTCTAATCACTTACCTTCCCTTTCTTGCAATCCAGGCTGCAGCTTATGCTGTCATTGTTTGGTTCGCATTGAAGCTTCGCGGGCCATTCCTTTATTTCTTGCTCGTTCTCTACATGTCCCTTTTGTCCACCAACTCATTTGTGGTGTTCGTTAGCTCAATCGTGCCGAATTACATACTTGGCTATGCAGCAGTAATTGCATTCACTGCTCTGTTCTTCTTGTTCTGCGGGTACTTCTTGAACAGCCATGATATCCCCAAATATTGGAAATGGATGAACTACATTTCAACGATGACATATCCATATGAAGGGCTTCTGATGAATCAATACCAGACTCCAATTAGTTTTGGAAAAAATCCAATAGGACAAGAAGTAACTGGATTTGGGATTTTGAATTCGCTACATATTCGTACAGAGGAATCAAAAAAGTTGGAAAAGGTCTACTTCATGTTGGGATGGGCTGTCCTCTACAGAATTCTTTTTTACGTGGTTCTGCGCTTCTTTTCAAAGAACCAGAGGACATAAACAGTGACATCAATGGAATTAGAAGGATTGATCATCTTCGACATGTTCCAACACAGGATGTTAGCTGTAAACAACCTCCATACGAGGATCTCTCCTAGTTAACTTCCTGTGTTTTGCCCTTGCTATTGCATCCCTGAATTTCATGGTCAAGTCAAAATCAGCAATTGTAGACATGAAACACATTTTATCTGTAGCATTGGAGTGAGATCGTGCTCATGTAATTAGCTGAAATTGGTTTATTTTTGGTAGCCGTCATGGAAAATAAATATCTTTTATGTATACTTAATGTGGAGGTTTTCAGCTACTCGTTTTGTAGGATTGATTAACGATTTCACATAATAACATGCTAAGATTCTTGATCACCTCCGGTGGCAAAAGTGAAGGAATCACCCCACAATCATCTAGCTAAAAAAAGACTGGATAAATTACCTTTTATCCCCTATTGTTTGGTGTTTTCTCACATAATCTCCTATGGTTTAAAAAACCTATATATAATCTTTAATAGTTTGGATTAAAGTGTCACCGTTAGTTTTTTTTTTGTTAAAACTAACGGTCAATAGTAAAAAAATTAAAATTAAAATAATAAATTAACAAATTCATCCTTTCACTACTTTTTTTCTTCTTCTTTCTCTCACTCTCTCTTGGGGAGAGGGGAGGAGAAGAGAAAAGGTGATTTTGAAAACCTACACTTTGGCCTACAAAAGCTTAATTTTCTTTACATACAAAAGAGATGGAAGGAAAATAAAAAAGAAACAAAAAGGATGGAAGGGAAATACAAAAATACAAAAATACCAAATCTTTTTTTAAATACGAATATCATTATAGGTTTTTTAACTAAATCTTTAAGATTTAATCTTTCCTATACTGATATTGTATACACAGTCAGTTTTGGATGAATAATAATTATACAAAATTTGAATTTAAAATTCAATTTTTGCACATACGTCATGGATTCAATAGTGATAGCGTATATAAGATTTATTCAATCTTTAATGGTATTTTCTACTTCATATTTATCTATTTTTAATTTTAATTTCTTCTTTTTACGTTTGGAGGGAAAAAATGAAGTAATGAAAGAGTAAAATTTGTCAATTTATTAGTTTGATTTTCACTCTTTACTATTGAGAGTTGGTTTTAATGAAAAAGTTAACGGTGACATATTAATCTAAACTATGAGGAGTTATATATAGATTTTTAAATATAAAGGATTATATGATAAAACAATAAATCACACGAGAATAAAAGATAATTTACCCAAAAAACTACTAATAACCTGTCTGTCTGTAGACATTTTATCCACTCCTGAATTCTGAAAAAGAGTTACAACAGATGTGCAATTGAAAAGGGAAAATAGATAAAATGAACCAGAAAACTTCTTCTGAGATTGAATGTTACTTGTAAATCCAATATGGCACTGCAAATTACGATAGCAGATAGTTCCACACCCACCCATCATCGGACCACCCCACTTTTACGGACCCTTCACCACAGTCCACCAACTCTCTTCTCTCCTTCCCCACCCCACACACACACACACACACAAAACAACCACAAAAATCCAACCCCAAACACAAACAAACACATTTTTGAGACCAAAGAAACAAAAAAAAAAAAAAAAGGTTCTTAGTTACTCACGTAACAACTGAATAACGTTAAATTGCAAAAGGCTGATAAAAGAACAAGTATGGGAGTCCATGAATATGACATCATTCTGGAAATTGTTTTTTACTCCCATTTCATTTTTGCATCAATTTAAACATATTGACGATGATATTTTCCACGACAAAGAAAGTGAGCTGTGTCCGCACCTTTGCTTCTCTTGTGTCTATGACAAGATGGTGATCAATAATTCGTTGCTAGGGACAAAAACATGCTTAATTTTTCTTGTTCCTTGAGCAGTTCTCGGTTTTTAATGCTGATGAAAACTCAAATGCTGGATTTGGGATCCCCACACAATCCAATTCTTGCATATAACTAGATCAGATCAGGATAGCAGGATGCAATTAGGGGCCTTCGACAAATTTAAGAAGGCTTAAACTATTAAATATTGCTCATTGATGGGATTGTAATCAATTTAAAGGGCCAGAAAACTTAGACCAAAGGTATATTCTTTTTGCATTGAGAAAATGTCAATGCCCGGAATATGCCAAGCCTACGTTAAAAACAATGGTAGCATTATGCCCTTTTTGTTTTCCTCATTAATTTTCGTAAGCAGGATGATGTCCTAATACCTTGTTGAAAATTTAAAATAAAATAAATGTGTAGAACAAAGATATGGAATAAATGGTCTGGAGCTTCTGCACGCTTGGAGCATTTATCAGTAACTTTACTTCAAATTCATCTTAATTACTTACGTGGAATCTACCTCCAATGGAGACTAAGTTTCCTAATTACTCAGAATTTTTGGGACCTTTCTCCCTCCAGAATAACCATAACCAAAACCAAAACCTAGTATCCCGGAGGTTGAGCACACTTTGGAACATGTTTCCTAATTGCCCAAAATTCTCCAGTAGGGATTCATGAAAACAGATTTACTTTCCCGAAGAATGTGAGTTCACATGTTAGCGTGCATTAAAAATCGGCAACAGACATTGAGTTATAGAGTCAATTCACCGTAAAGGAATTATTTTGACCATTAAAAGGGTCGAGAATTTGACTTTTTTTTTTTTTTTTGCTAGGAAGTTTGGTGCTAATCTGATTAGCCCTCCTAACATCATCGTGTCCAAGCACTTTACTACTTTGAGATGTTAGCTAATATTTCGACACCTAGCTTATTGATCATGACGTTATTTAGTAATATAAGCTACCGTCTCTTAATAGTAAGTGTATCGTTTTAGGTTATGTGTCTTGTTTAATTTACCAAAACAAATGGAAGTTAATTGTTCTAAGGGCAACCAGAGTCTCCGGAAGGAAAGCATGCATCACTCATGCATGTATTTCCATTTTCTGAATCAGTCTCTTGCTATTCAAAGTCGGGATTTCCATGCAGAAATTGGCCAAAAAACCTATAAATGAAACCAAGAACCCATGCTTAAACCTCACCAGCAGCCCCCTCTTTCTCCTTTAGTACTGTCTTTTCTCTCTGGTTGAACGCTATGTCAATGTCGAAGGTTATTCTCTTGGCTCTTCTATTTCCGTTGGCAATGGGTTGTTCTGATGCCCTACCAAGTGACTTTGCTTTTAATGCTACCGTGTCTTTGTCAAGACCGGGAGCGTTCAGGAAGGTGATGGACGCCATCGCCGCGGCCCCAAGTGGTAGCGAGTCCAGGTACTACATACATGTTGAGGCGGGTGTCTACCAGGAGATCGTATGCATCTCCAAGGAAAAGACCAATATTGCTTTGATAGGGGATGGTGCAGATGTCACCAAGATCACCATGAACAGAAAGGTCCCTGACTTCGAAACTTGGGAAACAGCCACCTTTTGTAAGTACAAGGGCTTAAGGCTTCCTAGCTTTTCTGATTCATTAGCTTTCCTGAATATTCATAGTAAAGATCTAAAAAAAAAATTTTTTTGCGTCTTTGTGTTTACAGGTATATGGAATCTAAAAATAATATGGTTGTCATCGGATTTTGCATATGCTTTTAACGAATGTATCACGAGATAAGTCTGCCAAAACAATATATACCGGGATTTTGATTCTGGAAATACTTTTTTCAGCAAGCACTTGTCTCGATCGCTGTGCTTTAAGCAAATTGAGGACAATCAGTATATGTAGTCTTAGATCTGTAAGAGTTTGTTGCACGTACGGGATATAGCATGATTTCTAGTCTTTTATTTGTCAGGGTCACTATGCAGAAAACAAAAAAAAAATCTCTCTTTGACGAATAAAATGGAAAGTCAAACAATCAAAAACAGAAAGTCTGCCTTTTTTTTTTTTTTTTGAATATGGAAAGATGGAGGCCATTGGGCATGTTACAATTAGGTTATGAGAAACTACTCATAATACCTAATCACAATTACGATTCTTTTTTTAAAAAAAAAAGAAAAAAGAGGCAATTACGATTCTTAGTTTGTCTAACACGCATGCCTTGACGAGGATAGCAATTCTTAGTTTGATGTTGTGAGTAAATTTTGTTGATCTTGTTTTCATGGTTACATGCATGCACGTAGACGTAGGGGTAGATAAGTTGTAATTTCGCAATACGTAAAATGGTAGATCAATTACATTTATTAAATGAATACATGCAACCACATTTGAGTATATTGACTTTTTTTTTAAAAAAAAAAATATATATATATATATACAACAACTGCATGAATTGTACCAAAAGCCAATTGTGCCCGTTTCAAACCCCAATATTAGACGGGAGTGCTTCCTATCTACGATGTAAGAATGGGTGAATCTTGCTTAATTAAAAAATTAAGCTGAATTTATCAATACATCCGCCTATTTTAGTAATTCTTGTTTTACAGAGAGGTTAATATTCTAAATCTTACCGCATATATTATTCTGACTACTGCAGCGTAACACCTTTTTATTTGTTTCAGCTGTTTATGGTGACGGATTCATGGCCCAGTTTATTGCATTTGAGAACCCCGCAGGAGAGGGCAATCAAGCCGTAGCACTTCTGAGCGAAGCTGACCAGTCATCGTTCTACAGATGCCGGTTCCTTGGGTATCACGACACCTTGTACGCAAAAGCTGGGGCACAATTCTACAGAGAATGCGATATCTATGGAACCGTGGACTTCATCTTTGGTCACGCAGCAGCAGTTTTCCAGCTATGCCACCTTTATGCCCTCCCAGCCGCCAGCGAAATGATCACCTTCACGGCTCAAGGGAACAAGAATGATGGAAAGAAATCTGGATTTGTAATCCATAACTGCACGTTAACAACCGCCCCACGGGCACGGGTACCAGGAAGCAAAAACGAGTTTAACGGTGCATATCTTGGGCGGCCATGGACTTCCTTGTCCACAGTGATTGTGATGCAGTCATTCTTGGACAGCTTCATTAACCCTGCTGGATGGCTTGAGTGGCCCGGCCATTCCACATCCACAGTTACTTATCGTGAGTATCTGAACTCCGGACCGGGCGCAGCCACAGGCGGTCGAGTTCCATGGCCAGGATACAAAGTTCTCAGCCAACCCAGCGATGCTATGCCGTTCACTGTTGGCCAGTTTATTGTAGGGGATTCTTGGCTTCCAGAGACTGGAATCCCTTTTACGAGTGGCCTCTTTTAGTTTGAGCACTGGCGCAAGTTAGTACTATTAATTTATTTAATTATTCTTATCCTGCGAAGCATTCGGCAATAGGTATTTATACTTCTGAAATATGAAGATTAATTAAGGGATATTTGCAATTAAGTTATTAATACTAGCACAGGTTTTATTAGAGAATCGACTTCTTCCTCTTGGAAAGCATATGATCCAAGTTAAACAAATTCTGTTCGCAGTATACATATATATATACCCATGTTGATCATAGAGTCCCTTAAACAAATGCCTTGGACGGGCAAAAACAGATGCTGCTGTGCCTAAATCTGATCGATCATGATTTCGTCAAAGTGAAAGATTGAAGTGCTTTAACTAGTTTTGGGGCTCGTAGATTGGATCTTGAATCCATTGGCTTGGCTGTTTGAAAGGTGGCAGCTGGTTCTGAATCTTAGTTCAGGGTATTTTTTTAAAACTCTGGCCATTACCAAATGTCACGAATCAGAAATATTTAAGTACCGCAATTAATATTTGTCTTTGAATTCAGGGGGGTCAATTTTCATTGACGCAAGCCCAACGACTTTGAGCTTAGTAAGACAAGGAATAACTTTTTGAGACAGCGACCAATATGATTTCCTATGACTAGAGGTTTTTTCATAATCATTTGTCAACTTTCTGATTACCGTTCAGACTTCTTTGAGGAATCTCTAAGTCGTGAAGGAAACACCGTTGATCTCAATTATTAAGTCCGGAGAACAAGTTTGATGGTCTTACTCTTACGCGTAGGTTGCTTGACCAGGTAAAATACGACAATTACAGGACGGGTGCTACAAATTTTTGCACCATAACACATCTTTCAGTAGTGTTTTTTGACTGCATTAATCACTAATATGGTAAGAAGAGGAATTGGTACCACCAGACCAAATGACACTGAGAAGAGGTAGCACAAACATATTCCTTTGGGTAGAGAAGATTGGCCAACCCTTGCTCTCAGATGTTTACTGGTAGAGAAAGTGCACGATATAATTGTTAGACCAAAAAAAAAAAATTTCAGTCGGGCTCAATTTCCAATTTATATGGTTATAAATTGCCTACTCTCAGAAAAGAAATGTACAAAAATGTTTTCAGCAATTTCCAATTTTATGTACGATCATTAGCATAATACAAGAGTAACGCATAACGCTATTATTGTAAACTAAAGGAGAGAAAGAAGATTATTTTTTTTTATGGCAATTGACAATTGACATGAAGCAAAAGGTATTCATCCAGTCCAAGTGGCAATTAACAAGTAGGAATCGAATTTTATTTTATGAGTTAAAAATTGGCAAAGCTGATTTCCGTGACATTGCTTTCCAAGTAACAGACAAGGAAAGAGACGAATTCTCAATGAAAGTTTATGAATGACGGCCAAGGGTGGTTCCGCCCGATTACTTTAAGCCAGATTAATCAAGAATTATAAAATTGCAAATGAACCCGGCAACGTAACGAGCCAATCACAATCATTACCCATAATTCATCATTTTTTAGGTGATTATGTTTTGCGTTATATTCAGTTCAACCTTTCTCACTTACTGTCTTGTTCCCCATGCTTTTGTAGTGTACTGCCCATATTTGAGATTTTGTAGTCAGAGAACAATACCATCCACTCTACTTTCCTCTTCATGAATTCTTGATTTCTGTGCATTGCAAGCCCTTTTGTCTGCAGGCACAGGCAGTACCGTTCCAGGTCATTATTCTTGTCGTATACGTTAACTAGGGCAAAATGAAGACTAGTTCAGGAATGAAGATTTTGGTATGGAGAAAAAGGCTGGTGATCTTATAGCTGTTTTTGTAACAGCTGATCACAGAGATTGGAGATTTTGATTATGAATTTGATGACCCCATGGGGCTATTTCATTTGATGCTAAGAGGATGATGGGAGGGTTGGATAACTGGAATACAAGAAGTTTGGTCAACTGTTGCATTGTCTGCCTCTTCCTGTGTATTCAATCTGTTGTCGCACAACCAGGTATGCTTGTTTTTAATGTATCTGTGCTGTTTGGTTCACTATTGTATACTATATCTGCAGTCTGAATTCATTCTTCAACTCAATCTTTTGTCATTCTCGATTTCATTCTAGACTAAGAAATGTGAGAGGAAAGGGACTTGCTTATCTTTGGTGTTAAGTGAACTGTTGGAGAATCAATAATGAAGGATCTAGTGTTCTTGATGAAAAGCCCGGAAAGAAACTCGTGTCTCCAAGATCTTACAAGTCAGATCCTCTATGAGGCAATTTGGATTCACAACAGATCCGGAACGGGACAAACCCAATGATGGGTTGTGAATTTGATTCCCACATCACAATATTGTCCTTTATGATCACATTAATCAAGGCTATAGAAAAACAAAATAAAATTCGGGCAATGGTCCTGAAGCTAGGAACAGTTTTATATAGTTTCTGAAAATCAGAATGAACAGTTTGTCCTCAATATGCCTAGAAATCCACATCATTTATCCTTTTGGAGTTTCGTACAACAACCAGTGGCATCCAAAGGGAAAAGCAAGGACCAATTTCTTTGCAAAATCATGTGTTGCGCAATGGACTGTTAATTTATTCCCCAAATTGATGGACTAGTTAAAACAATCTGTCAGATCTAGTGTCTTTCAAGACCAACGCGTTTGTTCTTACTAATTATGGGTACTAGACAATTTTTGCTTTAAATCTTTAAGCACTAAAATGTTTAGTTTTCAAAACTTACTGACATGAGCAGCAATTAGCTTGTATGTTACATCAGTAATCACGTGAAAGACAAGAAACCTCCGAAAGGATTCATGGTGCTAATTACGTTTTTGAATGTCTGTAAAACAGGATTTGTGAGCATACATTGCTGTTCTGATAAAGATTTTGTTGAGCCAAATACAAGTATAAACTGGATACCAGATGATTATTGGTACCCTGATAATCGAAGTTGCCAAGACACAACGCCAGTGCAAGACGATACAGGCTACAATAGAGCAAGAGTTTTCGACTCAGGTCTTGGTCATAAATGGTGTTATAACTTGACCACAGAGAGGGATCAAGACTACTCGGTAAGGGGTACATTTCTTTCTGGGGACCATCAAAGGCGACCTTCAGGATCTGGCTTCAATGTCTCCATTGATGCCACGGTGATAGGCGTAGTGAAGTCATCAGGTGAATCGAAGGTTGAAGGGATTTTCAAAGCAACTAAGGACTACGTTAACTTTTGCTTGCTGCAGGGCCAAAGGGTACCTTACATTTCAAAGCTTGAATTGAGACCTCTAACTTCTGATTATCTGAACAGGGATCCCTCTAGTGTGCTCAACCTTATTGATAGAGTAGATGCTGGAAATGAAGGAGGGGATATCAGGTATAACATCATAAAATGTTACAAGCCTGAAACTTTCACCTTATACCCGAGAAAACTCATTCATTAGGAGATGCACACATTGCACGTAATTAAATCCAAGAATTTCAAATTTGGTTCATGTTTCTGTTACTGAACTTTAGTATTTATCGGCTCAAAATTTCAATTTTAGGTACCCTCTTGACCGGTATGATCGAATCTGGAGGGCAGACAAGTACAGTGATCCAATGGCAAACCGCATATCATCATCTAGTGTCAACGTTACCAGGTCTTCTCCCAACCTAACATTTCCTCCAATCGAAGTGTTACAAACAGCTCTTACCCATCCAGAACGACTGGAATTCTCTTACAACAACCTAGACTCGGACTACCACCGTTACGACCTATTACTCTACTTTCTAGAACTCAATGACCAAGTTAAAGTTGGGCAAAGGGTGTTTGATGTGTATGTCAACGATGCAAAGAAGACACAAGTAGATGTAGCGCTTAGTGGCACCTTTAGATTTGTCGTTTTAAATGTCACGGCCAATGGATATCTAAATCTTACCATGGTTAGGCTCTCCAACGGGTCACAATATGGACCTATAATCAGCGCCTATGAGATTTTGCAGGTTCACCCATTGATTCAAGAAACAGGCCGCGAAGAAGGTACAGAAATATGCCCGAATTTACGAGTTCAGATGTCTACCACGAAAACATGGCTAGATGCATTTCATTAGGAATTTATCGGCTTCAAAACCTTTATTTTCTCTCGCCCTTTCGTTTCAGTGGATAATATTATTGATGTGAAAAATGAGTTCTTGAGAGGCAATCCAGACAATGAGCTTCTTGCGAGTTGGTTAGGGGATCCTTGTCTCCCTATTTCATGGCCCGGATTGTCTTGTGAGCTTGCTAATGGTACCTCAGTCATCACCACGATGTAAGACTTTTCGCTTTCATCCACAATCTGGGTTAATCTGATACACAATACGGATTATATTTGCTTTGATTTTGTTGATAATCTACTCAGTCAATTTATTGCATTTCTCCCGCAGGAATCTTTCATCCAGTATGCTAGGCGGACCACTACCACCCAGCCTTACTAAGCTGTTCAATCTGAAGGAATTGTATGTTAATACTTTTTTTCCTTGCGAAGTCCTTTTATCCACCATCATGCCAAAAGCTTGAACATATTTCAATAACACTAAGTTTGTAAAAAAAAATAAAAAAAAAAATAATAATAATAAAGGTCTCAAGAAATCCAGCACGATGAAAGTTAAAGCACAGCGTAATCATATTTTTATTGTATATTAAAACCTTATCTTAGGTGCACGCTGTCATGGAATGATTTGGCATTCAAATGTTTCAGCCTCATTAGTAAAGCATTAAGCATACAGGCCTAGCATATCTGTTTCCATCTCATGGTAATATACAAGCTTCTCACCCAATCTCCCTCGCACAAGAAGCTTAATATACTTCTCCTCCTATTAGATATGGTAGGAATACTTTTAATAGAATTCAGGTTTTTTACTCAGAAAAGCCGCCGTAGAGGCTAATTTCTCTTCCCTAAATAGTCTATGCATATCCACCAACATACTTCTAATTAACAGGAGGACAATCAGCCATGATAAAATGCTTCAATTAGAGAGGCAATCAGCTCAAATGATTTGGAGGATATAAGTACATTGCTTCTCTTTTCATGAGCACCAGATAGGGGAGAGTACTTAGCACAAAACAAGTGACACCCAAACTTTTAAAACCATCAGTAAGAAATCTGCATATTTTCACTTTTAAAAGCAGCTAGGTTTTTATGTGAACAATTTGCATTTCATTTTCTAGGGATACAAGTCACACCAGTCTCGTGGGAAACATTACAGAGTTAGTAACCTCACTGCCAAATTTGACAACGCTGTAAGTTTAGTCGGGAATTGATTTCTTGTGTATTCTATTGTCAATATTAACTAGAAGAACCTTGTGCCTAACCTGAGGTTCTTCTCCTTCTGCCCGCAGACATTATGACAGCAGTCCGTATCTCAGCAATAGGCTTCCAGCCAGCCTTAGAAGATCCAATCTCACCACAGAGTATGATATCTATGCTTGAGAAAGCCAGTGTTAGCTATATAAAATCTTTTATAAGATTTAATTGATATGTATGCATAAGTGATGCTTCAGTGTGTGGTTGTGAAAGATTTCAGTCTCTGTGTGCAAGAGAGTCTGATTCATTTTCCTCCTCATTTCAGTAAGGACAAATGTATCCATCAGGCTTCCAGGCACTCAGCAAGGGGAGTTGTGATAGGCGTGGTTACGGGAGTATGTATCCTAGTTACCATTGCTATAGGGGCAATCTTGGTTTGCAGGAAAAAGGGAAAATTGATTTTCAAGAGGAAGTATGATGCAAACGGGTTATCAATGACAAAAAGTAAGCACATTAACCATCAATGTCGATAATCCAATGCAAAATAAGACTTTCCTCGCTGTAGTTAAAAGAATGCACACTGATTCTGACACATGTAACTTGAACTTTCAAGGCTATAAGCTTTAAGGACTAAGAAATGGTAGTTCCCTATATTCCATGTTTCTAGTGTATTTTAGTATTTCATTTTGGCAAAAAAAAAATAAAAATCAAGTAAATGGTTACGCCCTTACAATCATACTATTAGCTGGTTATAGTTTCATGAAAAGCCACTCAACTTCAATAATTTTTAGCAATTGGATTTCCAATTGAACTTGTAAAATGCAGATGCTGTATATTCAGTACCCAGCACAGATATCATACTGAGGTCCATATCCATCCAGAGTTTCACTCTACAGTACATAGAAGCAGCAACCCAGAAATATAAAACATTAATAGGTGAAGGAGGATTTGGATCTGTTTACCGGGGTACTCTTCCTGATGGCCAAGAAGTGGCTGTGAAGGTCAGATCTGCCACATCAACACAGGGAACACGTGAATTTGACAATGAGGTAACAATCTACTGGTATTACATAATTCCATGAACAACCCTCCTTGGCAATCTTCCAGTTAGTACAAGGCATGAGACCATGTTCACCAGTTGCAATAAGAGTGAATCCCTGTGAAAATCTCAAACTCCAATCACTTGAGTAAATTTCCATATTGCTATAGCTCTCAAGTTACATTGCATAATATTGCAACGCCATATTTAAATTCTTTTTCTTTTCCATCACCTCTTTTGAACTTGCCATGCATAACTGTTTTTTTTCAGATCATGTCTACAAACTCGTACTTATATGATATACTGTTGGCTGCATTTACTGAAAATATCTTACTGTTCTTTTCCTAGATGTCATCTGACAAATCTGAATTACAAATATTTCTACAGCTGAACCTGCTCTCAGCTATCCGTCACGAGAACCTGGTCCCGCTGCTTGGTTACTGCTGTGAAAATGACCAGCAAATTCTTGTTTACCCCTTCATGTCTAATGGCTCCCTACAAGATCGTTTATATGGTACTACCCAATAAAAAATAATAGTGGCAGTTTCAGCTCTTCTTTCTTGAGAACCAGAAAACTATGGCTCACATCCTTCTAATGTTTAACAGGAGAAGCGGCAAAGAGGAAAATCCTAGACTGGCCGACCAGGCTTTCCATAGCTCTAGGAGCTGCACGAGGCAAGTTACATGTAGCATTAGCATTTATTAAGAACTTTATCTTGCCAATCTTCTATCCTGATTCCTGAAGAATATAAAACAAGCAGCTGAAAATTAACGCATTCCAGGGATCATCCTTCAGATTGAACTTAGCCATACATGAACATGACAGCCAAATAAACTGGCTATTTTGTAGCAATTTGACTTTAGACGCCTACATGACACCCAAAAAACTGGCTATTTAATAGCAGTTTGACTTTAGATGTCTACAACACGACATCCTCAGAAGTCACAACTATTCCACAATCTAAACCAGAAGTTTTGACATTGGGCAGTTAGTAAACAACTTTTACCGGAAGATAGAATACAATAAAATGTATGCCTTTTTTTTTTTTTTGTTTGTTGGGGGGGGGGGGGGGATGTGAGGATAGCTCATATGGTCCCTAACAGATATGGCCTATTCCTGGAAGTCTCCTTCAACATCAACATGCATTATATGAGATAAAATATTATTGACTTGTTCTGTTGGATCAGTAACCGATATAGATATGAATGTGCCTGCTGGCTGATTCGAATGTGAATGTGGGAAATGGAGAGTTACAGGAGCACAGTCTTATATGCATTTCACAAAATTCACGAATCCATAACCTTCTCCTTGTGGTCTATTTTTGTGAACTGCACCAGTTGGCCAGGGATCACATAATGACCACTCTGAGTTCTTACAGTTCCATATTCAATTCAGATCTGTGTTAGATCAGATAAAGTTGGCCCCACTTCCCCTTCCCCCTCTTTTCCTGCTTAATATCTCTGTTATTTGGTCTGAAGAATTTACTCTCATTCCAGGTTTAACATACCTTCATACATTCGCTGGACGCTCTGTAATACATAGGGACGTGAAATCAAGTAACATACTCCTGGATCAGAGCATGTGTGCAAAAGTTGCAGACTTTGGTTTTTCAAAATATGCACCTCAGGAAGGAGACAGCGGCACCTCTTTAGAAGTAAGGGGTACAGCAGGATATTTGGATCCAGAGTAAGTAGCAAAGCGACTCTTTATCCATTCTCTGTTTATTCCTAAAGAGCTATTTTGGGTGCGTCACTAACTAAAGAGCTATTTTGGGGTGTGTCACCGATTAAAGAGATTCCAACTTGTGTGCATCAGGTACTACTCAACCCAACATCTGTCAGCTAAAAGTGATGTATTCAGCTTCGGAGTTGTATTATTGGAAATTGTAAGTGGTCGTGAACCTCTCAACATAAACAGACCGCGAAATGAATGGAGCTTGGTTGAATGGGTATGGTTCAATTTCAGTTGACTTGCTGATAAAACCACCATGTTTAACATTGGCACTACCCAGTGAAAATTTAAGATAATCATTAAGGCAACACAGCATGTGAGCTACATCTCTTTGAATAAGGATAAATTCAACCAACTTAGTACAAACATGTGGTCCAGTCAACTTACCACTAGAAACTAAGCAGTCCTGCTAACCCAGACATAGTAGCTACTGAAAAAAGCATATAGCTACAGAGCTTGCTCCGATTGCTAACTCAATAGTCAATGATAGAAGCAGTAGCTTCCCAACCTCTATAAGCTATCCGCTCTAATGAAGTCATACATATCTAGCATCACCATCAATTAGATTGTGTCCCTCAATTATGCAATATTCACAATTGCAGGCCAAACCCCGGATAAGGAACTCAAGAATTGAAGAAATCGTGGATCCAAGCATCAAGGGAGGGTATCATGCAGAGGCAATGTGGAGAGTGGTGGAGGTGGCTTTGGCATGCATTGAACCTTATTCAGCCTATCGACCATGCATGGCCGACATTGTCCGGGAGCTTGAGGATGCGTTGATCATAGAGAACAATGCATCTGAATACATGAAATCAATTGACAGCTTTGGAGGATCAACTCGATATTCCCTAGAGAGGCCAATTGTTATTCTACCCACTCCCAACCAAACAGAAGCATCCCCAATCCTATCACAACCACCTCCTCCACAACCGAGATGACCATAGGATAAACAGGATTCTTCACTCAGAGGCCATTATCAGTGTAGCCATTTCTCTTCATAGTGACAATGGGAAACTGGAGGATGACACCTGAACTCTACTAATGAAGCGCGCTACTGAGTCTTAGCTCCAATCCCCTAAACTTGCAATCAATGTAACATTTGCTTACACTTCCTACCTTATGTATTGCGGGCACCAAGCTACTCCGGATGCTAGTAGACCACAAGACGACAAAAGCTTCATGAAAGTTTATATGGTAACTGACTGCATCTATATGTTACACCAGAAGATGATAGCACTAGTAAACAATTCCTCATCAATTATCCAGGCAACTGAGTAGATATCCTAATAGCAATTAGCACTTGGAAACATCACAAAGCATGATTTATTTATTCAAATACCTTGTCGAATAAGAGAAATTAAGCTGAATTTTCAGTGAATGTTAATTAAAGCAGTTGAATGCTCCAACAACTATGCAATTAATCATTCAAAATTAGACGTTTTTTTTTCAGCTCTAATGTCATCTGCATTGAACCGGAAAAAGTGAGCCATCCAATTTTCATAAATTGCTCAATTAGCAATGCCTATATAACCAAATAATAATAATACATGGATGGATATGCAAATATTGCTAGCAGTATACTCACAGGAGTAAACAGAAAAGTAGCAAGGTAAGCACTTGAAGGAAAGAACCGCATCGAATGAGAAACTGCTTACATACATAGAGGCAAATGCGTAATTTTATGTAGTGTACTGATATACAGATGGAAGAATGATCAATTAGGGGTGAAGAGAGCCGGATTGGCAGTAGCGCTACCAACTTGGACCTCGAGCAATTCGAGACGACGCTCCAGCGTATCAAGCTTCTCATTCAGAGTCGCCAATTTGCTTTTCGTTGTAGCCTCTGGAGAAGAGATGTAATGCAGAGAGAGAGAGAGTGTGTTAAAGCATACTTTAACTCAGATGACGCTGATCAAAAGAGAAAGGAGAAAGGAATAGAAATGAGGCAAGTAGGTAAAGGTAGGGATTGGGTTGTTTAGGTGAAATTGATTACCAAACTGAACGAGGAAGTCAAAAAGGCGACGGACGTTAAGGGAGATGTGGGAAATGAACTCCCGATTCTCCCAATCGGCTTGGACTGCTATCCCCACGTTCACCGCATTCGTGATTCCTCCAGCTCTTGCCATTGTTAATCTAGTTCTACTACTACTACCGCTTCTTCTTCTTCTTCAGTCTTGTCTTTAACTGCTTTCCTTTCTTGAGCTTCTCTCTCTTCTCTCAACTGATGAAATGAGATGAGATCTGCGTTTCCTAATTAATCTCCTGCTGGAAAGGAGACGTCAGCGCAAGGGTTACTTACGGTGGCTGGGCTGACCTTCGCTGGTTTCGTCGCGGTTCCTTTCGGGAGTTTTCTCACCCTTTTTTTTAAATTTTAATAATAAAAAATAACTACTACGCGTGGTAGCACGGATCATGGGTTCCTGACAGTCATGTGCATTTTGCACAGCGCCGTAACTTTGTTTCCCACACATATGTAACTTATTTTCAATAATGTGTAACTTTAAAATAAAATTTTATGTATCCCACACATGTTGTTAAAATCGAGATACAAAATGAAATCTAAACCGTACAAATTTTTTTGATCAAATCTTTACTGTGAACTGCTCAGGGACGGTCATTCTGATGACCGTACCTGCCCCATTTCCTGCTAGCACGCTCCATAAGTAACATACACAGACAAGAGAGAGAAGTTCCAATTTATTCAAAGTTACGACATTGTGATAGTAGGCTTTTCTTTCAAGGGCCGCTTCTCCTTTACATTATTGTTGTTGCTGCGTGTCTTACTTACCTAGGCTATGATCCTCAATGGTTACTGACCACACAATCATCAGGTATATTAGACTTTATTAATACGTACCCTCTTAAGTCTTAACTTGAGCATTCTCGTTCCAGCCAAAAAACCGTAAACAAAGCCACCGCAAAAATTCACCAATAAACTTTGGTAACTATAGTGCTGCCATCTTCCATGAAGATGGACAACGCAAATGCCGAACATTAAGGCAATGCCAAATTTATTGAATGTCCAATAAATCCAGTGACAATTACTCAATTTTTTGAGATGTACTTTTCTATCATAGCCCCGTCAGTTGTTATCCATATATCAAGTCTAGATGACAGAAAACTACCTTAAAAGTACAAATAACAATGCCCCTGGACTTGTAGATATCTTAAACCCCTCAAAAAAAAAAAAAAAAAAAAGGTCCATGGGGTTGTAGATATCTTAAGCCTAGCAATGTTGCGGCAATTGTATTCTTAACCAGACCGACCCAAATAGCCTCCATCTACTATCAAATGACCATCGATCTGATGAACCCAAAAATTTAGCTTATGCAGACGCTGTGACAGGTAGCAAGCCGTTGTGCCTAAGCAGCGCCTCCGGAGAAGGTTCCCGGCCCCGGAATTCCACAAATACCTGAATAACCATAGGAGCATAATAAGAAGACAGATACCGCATCTAGGATGCAAGCTTTCATATGAAAGGGTGAAATATGTAGGATGAGCATTATTTTTCAAATGTCTAACCTCTAGTGGAGCTTTTCCACCTCCAAGAGCAAGTATGGTTTCTCGGAACCTATTCCCTGTTTCTTTTACTGCCTGTTCAAATAAAAAACATGCAAGCAATGAAGCTCCTAAAAGACAACATGAAACGGGACACGCTACC